CTGGTGACAGCAATACCAGCTAGCAACTTTCTATCTACACAGGCAACTCCACTTCCCTAGAACTACCTGGAGATACTAACCAAATCATTACCAGTATAATAATAATACCTTAGGATAGACTGCCCTCAGGAGGCCACAATGAAATCTCTTCATGGGATGTAACTAACTCAGCACACTCTGCCTCAGCACACTTTATGTACTTCTGCTACCATAAAAGATAGTCTGCAAAAGCTGTTCCTCATGACAGCTCCCGCTCACAACTGCAGTATTTAAAAAACCAAACCAAACCAAATCACCTCATCAACATTTTATGTGCCCTGCTAGAAACTTCTACTGATGATAATCAATTGCAATACATGCCTCAGAAGCAGGAAAAGACTGACGTAGTGAGTTGACTATAGCAAGTTCTAAGTTACATACACATTTCTTAAGAAATAAGCAGAAGTAAGGCTCCAGTGACCCATCAGGAAAAGAACAGTAGTCCATCATATTCCCAAACACTAGAAAAATGCAGAGAAGAGATCCAAAACAATTAACTTTCTAGGCCTACAATGCATTCCAACTAAAGCCCGGAACATGCAAATTTTACTACCTATAAAGTTTAAACTGAATCAAACGTAAAGCCAACAGAATGACAGTTTTAGCTTTCCTAAGCTGGCAGTGACAAGGTAGGGCACATAAATGAGTAAATATTACAATACACAATCTTCTTTCAGCAAGGATACCCCTGCTGAAGCAGAAACCCAGCTCAGTTAAAAACCCAAAGCAATAATTACAGATGAGTCAAAAAGGGGGTTGCTGTACAAAAGGACGTCAGGCTGAATTAAATGACAGCTGCAAAAGCAATGCCTTGATGGTCTCTCTAGAAATTCTGGGGAGGTGGTAAAAGGCCAGGTAGGCACCAGTGACCTGGGGTGGGGCAGGAGAAAAGATGAGGAATAAAACATAGAGTAAGGTAAAGACCAGACCTGGAGAGCAACCTTCTTTAAAATGATCCCAAAGCCAGCTGATGAGGCAGTTTCAGTGCGTGCCTGAAAAAAAGAGTTGTAGGAAAAGAAGTACAGATTCCATATGAACTGCAGAAACATGGAGTAGTGGGAATCTGTAAAATAGTTCATTCTAAACCCCCCAAAAAGTAGGAAGATGTTGGTACTTAACAAAAGATTACAGGAGAGTTTTAAGCAATATAACAGGTGAAGAAACATCACATGAATAAGGCCACATGCTCTCACTTCCACTAGGAATAGAATCACAGAAACTTTGTATGCCTAATAAGAGAGCGGACTCAAGTTTTCAAAATTCAATGGAGAAATCTTAAGTGAGTCAAGCCCACTCAAGTCCTATACTCAGGTACAAAACATTTATATACAGCTTGGCACAAATGCTAGCAGCACAAGATGTAAAACCCAAACACCTGTTTTTAATCAAGGACAGTGACAAAACAGGCATACCAGAAATATGATGGAAGCAAGACAAATAAGCAAGGCATTAATACAAAATATATAGAAAAGTCATAAAACTAAGTATCAATGTATTAGCTCATCAAATCCCATATGGATTGAATTTCCAGGCCTAGTAAGGTAAACCCTGTTGTTAGACAGTTTTATTACCCACACAATTAAGCTATGACATCTGAGGACTAGAAGGCCAGCAGTGTAACTGTAATGAGACAGCAATTATCAGCAGGTTGGATAAATGTCACACTGGAGAGGCCAAGATCACTTTTTTTAATATATTTTTTTCATGCAGCCAATCAGAGCCACCCAACTCCTGCTGTAGATCCCAGCAACATACAAAACCTGAGTCAAAATGCTGTTTTCAAAGGCTGGCTTTGTGATGGTAACTTCTATTTCTGCAAGAATATTGACCACGTTTATTAATAAAGACAACAGTTCACTACTGCAGACTTCCATAAAAAAGGAGAAGCATAAAATAAGGAAATATGCTAAAATGAAACAAAAAAGACAAGTCAAAAAAATTAAAATGTAAGGCTTGACAACAACACTGATTGCATGCACAGAACTTCAGTATGACAGCTTTAAATACACATGCCAAATTAAACTGCTTTTGTAGGGAGGGAATGGATTAAAAGCTACTAGAATTTAAAAGCCAACCTTTGTAAAAACAGCAGTCTAGCAGTCAAACAGAATCTGTCACTGAATGTAAAATTTACAGACAGATCAGAGTATAGAGGAACAATCTGCCAAAGTGCACACACACTGAGCACCACCTCAGAACAGGAACCACACCTGAATAAAGCAAGCAGATGATCAAAATAAAAGGCCGAGTGCTCAGGGAAGGGAAGGCTGCAGAGGACAAAAAAAATCCCTGAACTCTGAACAAACCCCTAAATCAGTTTTTGGTACCATGCAGGTACCTGAGCAGAACTTCCGCAGGCAACTCATTGGAGGTTTTGCCCCTCAGAACAAAACATCAGAACAGGTTACAGAGGAAAGTGACAAATGGCTGGGGCTGGGGGTTATCACTCCCTAATTCTAAAGGAAATCAACTAACTGCAGCGTGAAACTTCTGGGTTAAAACTGCCTCATTACAAATGACTGGAAGCTGCAAAAATGACAGCAGGCTTTTGGGAGTTCAGCAGGTGGAAGAATCACCTGTTTTTCAAGAGATTCCAGAGGGATCCAGGGAACTACAGACTAATTTTATTTTTCTGTACATAGCAAACTGCCAGAAATTGCTCTAAAGCCATGAAAACAACTGGATAGGCATGCTGAGAAAAGTCAGAGTTGCTTTTGCGAAGCAAAGTCATGTTTGATAAACATTTCAGAGTTCTAAAAAGAGACGAGAGTAAGGAGCTCTAATACAGCACGCTTGAAATTCTAAAAGGCATCTGACATTCCCTTGCCAAAAACCATAAAGATGCTGTGCTGCCAAGAGAAGCTGTCATATCACTAAATTATTTAAAGATAGAAGAGAAAGAATATGAATCAGCAGTCATTCCTTCCTAAGGACACGGATCGCCAACAGAACATCTCAGGCACCTATGCTGGGGCTAGCAAAGCACAATCCATTCCCAAGGGTTCTGAGACAGCAATTTCTGAAGACCACTGTATATTCCAGTAACACAAAGTTACTCAAAGTAATAAAGGGGTAAAGGAATTACACAAAAAGTTGAAGAATCATTTCACTGGGGAAACAGGTATTAAAACCAGCAGACTAAATTCACTTTAGATAAACAAGAGCAATTCACACTGGGGAAAACAAAAAAAAAAAAAAATCAGACCTAAAAACATATGTAAGGAAATGGACTCCAAGTTGACCATTAATTATTCAGGACGGAGTTACTGTTCTTATATAGCTTCTGAAAACGTGTTAAGCAAAGGCAAAACAACTAGGTGTTATTTTTGGAAGCAATATAAAACAGAACACAAAACTTCCTATTTTTTTTTAATGATAAATCCACAGTGAATAATGTGAGCATTTCCACCTGCTCCTCCCTCCCTGAGAAACTGGAAAAGCAAAGGACAACAAGGATGACCTAAGGTACAAAGAGCTTTCCAGCAACAAGCAAGTAAAAGAAATGACTCTTCAGTTTGAAACAGAAACAAATGAGGCAGGCAGGACAGGGCAGAGGTCTACAAATTCGAGAGCAACACACAGAGAGCACGACAGGGTTGGTACAATGTCTCATCAAATGGAAGAACCCAGAGGCGTCAGCCAGAGCTACCAACTGGCAGATCCAAACGGGTCAGTCACAAACTGCTGAGGTACACCAGGCTTCCAAGGAGATGTCACCACACTGCTGATCTGTTACCGACCCTACACCTTCACTGCTTCCACTCTGAGACATCGCACCAGGTCAGGCAGGACCCTCATCTGGCAAACAGGTATTACTTTTTAGGGTAGGTGTATACAGAACATGCTGAAATGGATTACCGATTAACTAGCTTTCAGTTCTAATTTACTAGTTTGAAGCAAAGGCAAAAAAAGGTATTTTAAAACTATGACTTTAAAGCTACCAACAATTGAGCCTAGTCCTACATCGACAGCAGCAATAAAAACACAGTATGTACAGCAGCATTTTTAAAACATTACTTAGCAGCATACTGAGATTCTTCTGAGGGTGTTATTCCAGGTTTGAATCACAAATATAAACTAAAAATGCCATTGTTAATAAAATTTAACAGCTCCCTTACCCAACAAAACAATTGATAAGAATATTTAGGGTCAGAACTCACTCAGAGGAAATTATTTTTAGTCTTTTAATTTTAGTTTCTGGTCAGGACAGTCACACAGGCTTTGCCTGTAAAATACTAAGGACAGGTACGGGCAGCAGCCAAGTTACAGACATACTACTACCTTATTAGTAAAAATGGGAGTATCAGCTGTCCTTCCTCACCTTCAGTGCCTTTGAAAAAATTCATCTATCCTCTAGCCAATCCCTCCTATGAAAGAGAAAAATAATAAGCAATTATGTTTTTGCTGCAGACATATATGACACAACTTCTCACAGAAAATAACAGCATTCTCTACAAAGAGATAACAGTAAGATAAGCACTCCTGACTACCTTTAGTGGCATTTTATATTCCAAAGTAACACTACCAACTGCAAAACCCCCTGAATATACCACCTTTTCTTGCATTGTTTCTCAATACATACCTGCAAGAAGCTTGAACATGCACTGTTTTCTGGCACAAAGACAAAATTTCTCAGCTGCACAAGTGAAGAAAACCTCAGACTTTAAAGACTCGGAGTTATCGTCAGTGAGATCTCTTCTTTCCGTACTTTGGTTTGTGCCAAGACGGGAAGTAATTTCAAAAGCTGAATCAACATCTGGATCGTGATGCAATGAACACTGGAGCTAAGAAGTGATGGTCCTAAACCACATTCAATTTTCTTCAGAGACGATAAAAACATCAATCACCAAAAGTTACTTGATCTCAATAGAAAAGCCTGAGGTCAAATTTTTGGTAGTTTTTCAGTAAGAGAAGAACACTCAGGATCATCTACAGCTGAATAATTACTCTGATTCAAAAGCTGCTTTGAATAAAATAAATGGCTATTTTATTGACTATACATACATATTAAAGAGCATCAACATAATATAGTTGAACTGAGCGTTCAAGGAGATACACAGCAATACACCTTGACTTTGCATTCTGGAAATGAGCGAGTCTGTGAAAAGTCTTTTACGCGGCAAGGCCTGCAACTGTGCTGTTCACCGGTGTACGTGCAGCTCAGACTCAGAATATCACAGAATTAGCAAGTCCAATGACCAACCAACAGTCCTTCAATGCATACATGCAAGTGCTACTTGATCAAAAGAGCCGTACATACATTGAAGAATGGAACTAAGTGGGTTTTGTCTTTATAAAAACACATGGCATATAATTAAATCTCCTGAAGGCAATTCAGGTATACTGAAGATACAGAAGCTCCTAGCTTTGTAGTGTTAGCTACAAACAAACAAAACACAAATGAAACTCCTTGCCACTTTGTAGGGACTAACCGGTAAGAATAAAAAATTATATAGTTTGCCATCTTCACCTTACATGAAAACCCTGATGCAATCATACCTGCCAACCAACAGACATACCTCTGCACTTTATTAACCTTTGTGGAACATAATCTGAATAAAATCTCCACTTTATCCCAAACTGCAAAACACGACTTTATAAAAATATAGTGCTTTCAAAATGTATCAGCACATTATTTAAAAACATCACTATATGAAAACCAGATCTCTTTCCAATTGTTACATACACAGACTTCATAATACCAAATGGACTCTTCCAGGTAGCTAAACATATGTGCTGGAACTCACTGCTGCTAAATTTCTCCTCTGACTTAAGAATATCAAGTCAATTACATACATCAATTTTCCACTAATTTCTACAACACCCCCCCCTTTAATTATTATATATTTATATATTACCATCATGATTATTTAAGTAGCTACTTTTTCAAGGCAGTATTTAAGTCAGAAGCTGCAAGCCTCCATCTACAACTAGAGTACTCCCTGTAACGTAAGGGGACTCCAAAAGAAAGACAACAGCTTGTGCAACTTCACGAGGCTCTCCAAATCTTCCAAGGAGAATTGCTTTCTTCAACCGATCTTCTTCCAAATGAGCAGTCATCTCTGTGTGAATAAAGCCTAAGAGAAGAGAGAGATTTGAAGAGTTATCTAACCCTCAACTAAACTTCTCTAGAGGATTTTCCCTGGAATCCTCCACAGTGAAATGTACTACCACGTTTCAGCACCAGCCACCATTCTTCAAAGTCTCAGAAGTCAGTTCACATAATTTTGTAGCTGAGAACAAATTTTTACCTAACCAATAAAATGTCTTCCATTTTTGGAAGCCCTGATGTCATCATAAGAACGCAGAAATCCGTGGGGAAGAAAAAAAAAAGGTAACTCTAGAGTTGGGCCCCAAAACCACATTTAGTATCACTTCTGTGAAAGACAAAATACAGTCCTTTCACCAAAACATTCCCAATAAAAACATGGGTATAAAATCTCTGGCAAGAAACCCCTACAGCTTGCAAGTGTTTCCACTATACTTTAGAACTTATGGCAGCACTTACATGATTTCTATTATATCACTCACTTGAAGAATATTTCTTGACCATTTTGAAAGACGTTTCTCTATAATTTTCCGTTATCTGAGATTCAGTTTTCCCACTGCTGTACTTCTCTTCACATAAGCTGCAGCTCCATGAAGAGCTGATCTTACCTGCTTTCTAGCTGTCACCAAGAAGGGAAAGTCTCAGTTTTCTAGTGTATAACTGCCCCTTTATCATACTGGACCCTTCAGTGAACTGCTCAACTCACTGAACAGCAAAAGGTATTTTTCTTGCCTAGTTTACAAGTTGAACTGGTTCATGAAGAGGTCTGAAAGGCATTAGAGCTAGCACAAGGTGAGCATCAGAGTACACAGCTATGAGTGGAAAGAGTCAGAAAAGACAGAAGGATTTTTCTTTAAGGGTGGTGGTTTGCTTGGACTGGATCGTCTTGTGAAACCACAGCCTTGTCCTCACAGAACTTTCTTTCCAGACTCTCTTCTTTTTCTACAAGGATAGACAGGGATGCTTTCATGCCAGCATCTCATGGTCTTTCATGTTTCTCTAATAACAAATAAGCATTCTCTAGCAGGAGACGAGGGTAGCTGTCTGTATATAATTAGTTCTAATCCTTCCATCTGCAAGGACAGCAGGTTTTGAAGGAGGAACAAAGAAAAAAAAAAAAAAAAACAAACCACATTTATTATGTAATAATGGATAGAGGAACAGGTAGACACACACTCTTCCAAATTTCTCAGTGTTCCCTTAAAAAGGCTGAAGGTTTTGTAAAAGACTATTATACTTTAAACTGAAAAAAAAAAAAAAAAAAAAAAAAGATTAAAAACATTTATTTACAAAAGTTAAAGAAAATAATAGCAATTTGTTCTTAAGTTACTTTCAGAGTACAGCAAATATCTAGCAGTTGTGAAGATCATGTATTGAAACAGTCAAGGATGGAGGAACTTCCCAAAAACTAACCTGGAGCAACCACGTTGACTCGAATTTGCCTTTTTGCTACTTCTTTAGCAAGAGAGCGTGAAAATCCAACCAACCCTGCTTTGGTAGCACTGTATACACTTTGACCAGAGTTGCCTTTAACTCCTACAATACTTCCTAAAATAAAGAAACATCAAAGAGAAGAAAAGATTAAATGACTAATTTGAAACCTTGTACTGGCTTCATCATTTTAGTTTTAAATTTGAAATAGAAAAATTAGATTACAAGAAAAGGAATTAGAAGTATATTACTAGATGTCCTTTATACTGCTGGCATAAGCAAATCCCTCAACTATTTGTGATTTTTGTGGAATCCACGTATCTATGCTGACCAACAGGCAACAGGAGAGTAAAATGAAGAGCTTTCTAAAAAAATATCCTTGCACAGAGAAAGGGAAAAAAAAAAAAAGGAACCAACTGCACCTGTTTGATTCTTAGTTAATAACTAGCAATTGGTAGATTTAGCTACTGAAAGAGATGATAAAGAACGGTAAGATTCTTTCTTTCAATAAACTCTGAGGTTTTTATTACTGAAACAAGCTGGGTTTACATTTAGAAGTTGCTGAAATTACACAAAAGAATAAGCATTAGTGAAGAAATGCCAAATACAGAATTCCTAAATAGCAAAGAAAGTCAATTGTAACAAGTAACATTTCAACATGTTACACCTGTTAAACCTGTCAAGAAAACTAGTACATAGAATTTCACTGGATTAGACAAGCAGCTTACCTATATTGACAATAGCACCTCCCTGTTGTTGAATCATGCTTTTTACAGCAGCTCTGCATGTCAACATTGTCCCCAAAAGGTTGGTGTGAATCTGGGCTATCATATCTTCAGTCTTGGTTCTCAGTAACAAACCATCCCTGGCAAACAGACCAAAAAACCCAAAAGAACCCAATGAACAACCTCAACGATCACATTCATTCATGATGAAACATGACTGATTAATGAAATATTAATGGGGGTTTAAATGGTTCTATAGATTCTAGCATTCAAAATTATGACACTGAAAGGATGACACAGCGAGAAAAAAGTTAGCTGTGCTTCTGGCAACAAAGCCTCATTTGCAGAGCAGTATCAAACGTTGTTTTGGACCATTTCAGGGGGAAGAGGTGGAAGAAAGAGGAACAGAAGGGGAACTCGTGAATTCAGAATGCAGAAACTACAGTGAAAGCTATATCACATCTGTTAGAATTTTACCGTCATCATGAACAAAATATTGGTGCTTACTGCTGCTCTCAGCTGTCCTCATTCACTTACTAAATGCAAAGGCCCTTAGCACCTTACAAAAAGATGCTGTCATCTAGAATGACATATAATTTTGTAACATACAACTAACCTGTTGATCCCAGCTGCGTTAACCAAGTAGTTAATAGGACCTAAATTCCTCTGCATCTCCTCAAAAGTATTTTGGACTTCTTGTTCACTGGATACATCACAGCGAAGTGCCAGATGTCCTGCTATATTGAAATAAAGGCACATCATGAGAATCCTAAAAGATGGTATACCACTCATAAACCTTCCTCAGAATTTATTAACTCAATTGCAAAAACTGATGTTGAACTAACTATAATTTGAGGAAGCCATTTAATCTCCACAGAATTAAATAGCGACAATTTTCAAGTATTACATTGACTAGTTATGTGACACTTCCTTGGTTTATGTTTTTGGCCTTTTGAAATCAGAAGTTCAGCATGAGCAGACTGGTCCCAGTTCTGGCTTGGTCAGGAGCCAAAGATGACTCAGTTCATACCACCTCTCCCTGTTGTGACCTTAAACAATTCCTTTCATCTTACAATTTGTACCTTGCGGATAGAATAGCTAACATACTTAACTTACCCAAACGATACTGTAAAAACAAAGTTGCACTGATACAGCTTTTCTTTCAAATTCCTCAGTCTTTATTTTCCTTTTCATCTAGTTAAACAATGAGGTTTCTTTTATGACTTACTACTTTTGCAAGTTACCTAAGCATCAGACAGTGAAGAAATAATTGCAAAGAAGCATACATACCACCAAGATTACGTGCAGTGGTCTGGGCTACTTCCAGATTTCTAGCAATAATCGCCAGGCGGCAGCCTCTCTGTGCCAGTAATTCTGCAACAGCTTTTCCTATTCCTCGGGATCCTCCAAAAATGGCGCAAACCTTGCCCATCTGCAGAAATAATTCAGAAATTGCAAATAAAACATCAATCTCAGGTCCAGTATAGCAAGAGAATAACCGCTCTTCTGCCAACTTCATGGTCCCTACTAGTTTGTTTCATTTTGTAATGTGAGATTATAGAATTAGTGATTTGTTAATGTTTTATTCACCAGATGATAAATACTTGAACTGATTTAGACACGACCTCTACAAATGCAAATTAATTCTTCATGATTTCTGAACTAGTAAAAAAATTATGCATTACTAACATTTCAATACTAGTGTTATCATAACTCCTATTCAGTTATTAAATATGTGATTTATATATCTAAAGACCATAATGTATCATTCAGCTGTTTATTCAGAGCCAAGGGTAGCTATAATCACATTGCTCTTGCAAGCACTATTCTTGTACTGAAGTCATTTAGCCTTAAGGCCTCACTCCATCTTAAGCATTGGTGTTGGAAATCCACATTGCAAACATTACTGAGCCTCATTTGACACTACTGTATTTACACTAGTTTAATACTAAATTACACTACATTATACTCTGTTTTACCACTAGCCTTAGGTTTCTTTGTTTCTCCTTTTGAAGAAAAAAAAAAAAATTAAAAAAAGCTTTTTGAAATGTGAAATGATTCTGAGGTAACTAGCTTAGATGTCCAGGAAGAAGCATAAGGAGAAAGTACTTTTGTCGAATGATCTTCTATTCTGCAACCTCTAGAAACTGATCAGCTGTTTGGGGATTTCCTGAGGAGCCAGAGGCAGAATCCAAGCAATGGTAATGAAACTTTTTTGCATATATTTGAACGAATCCTTTTTGAACCCAATTATACTTTGTCTCCATAATATCCTGAGGCAACAAGTTTCATTATTTGTGGAAAAGTACTTCCTTTTGTTCTGAATTTGCTTTCTGATCAGATACTATGCACTTTTCCTCGTATCTTCCCCTTAATGTTCCTAACTTCAGAGGCTACCCTTCTGTATTTTGCCCTCTCCCTATAGTTTCTTTCAGGTTTATTTAGTTACTCTTCTAAGTATGGAAGGCATTCTCTATCTCATTAAAGACTGTCCAACCTCCTAATCCTGCCACCCTACCCTCTGCGTGATAACCAGAAGAGCACACAGTGTTAAGCATACACCATCAACTCAAAACGGCATAAAGATTTTAGTCTTCCAGTTCTTTTCAGTAACAAAGTAAGCATAAGTGCTTGAAATCAACCTGTGTCTGCTTCCACTGCAAGCTGAAATCTACCTCTTAGGAGCAGGAATAGGATTAAATACTTGCATCTCAGGTGGTGGCCCTTTAGACAGAATATGTACAAAAAGATGTCCTGCACTAACACAATTCCTTAGTGATAAAAGCGGGCACCGCTGCCTCACCAGAAAGACTGATGTTCTGGGTTGTTTTCATCGGGTAGCTAAATTGCAAGAGATGATTCAAGAGGTCTTGCACTGCAGCAACTACAGCTCTTACTGTTTTAGCAGACCAAAGGAACAACCAACCAACCCATATTTTGTTGACAGATTTTCCTGTTAGAAACAAAGCCTTGGTCTGCCTTTGCCATCACGACCAATCTCTTCTTTTACTTGATTACCACAATGACTTCTGGAAGTTCTTGCCTACTTGTTGCACCGATGTTGTACTAGGATTTCCTCCGTATTTTGTTCTTACCAGCCCTGAGCATACCTACGCTGTTATTTTGAAACATGGAATAATAGCGACTTGGAGGCATCTCTGGAAGACATTTTGTCCAACTCCTCCACCCCTGAGCAATGTCAAGCGAACCATCTTATACTGTTTATAAATGCTGTCAGACCTACATGTGTTGCCCAAATAATTCTGAACATGCTTAGCTACACAGGGACCAAAAAGCTGCCTGTGGGGAAAGTACCTCTTTAAAATACATCACTCTACCCTTCCTGGTCTCTTTGAGAAGGTAAAAAATCTTAGTGATTCTACTGTTCTCAGAAAGCATAGTGAAATTCCCTTGTGCATTAACCAGGTATTTACTGTGGAGGGGGGGGTAAGGCCTACTGCCAATGCAGCAATATACAGCTGCTGGTGTAGCACAAGAGCACCATACAGATTCTTTCGCGTTGTGACTTGGGAGAAAAAAAAAAAAAAAAGCAGTAGGAGTAATAACCCCGTGTTCCCCGGTCAAATATCAGTAGAAAGAACAAATATCTTTTGAAGCAACAGGCTCTTCTGGGTCGCCACACAGCACACACGAGCGCCTGTGCCACCCTCGTCCCCTACGGCTCTTCTTTCAAAACAACCTCTTTAATCCGTGACCCCCCCCCGGGCTCCCCTGATAACCACCTCACGCCGGACAACAACAAACCCGCTGGAGGACGCCTTTCGGCAAACGCGACTCGGCGTTACCGTGGCGGGCCGGGCCGCCGCTGCGCGCCCTCAGCCGCCGCCTCAGGACACCGCCCCCCAGGACAACCCGTCCTCCCCTCCCGGCAAACCACCGGTTTGGTTTGGATTATTTTTTTTTTTGGTTTGGTTTGGTTTTTTCCCTCCCCGCCGTTTTGGGGGGCTCCCACCAACCTCCTCCGACCCGGGGGCGGCGCTTCCTTCCCTCAGCGCTGAGGGCGGCCGCCCGCCGCGAGCGCCAACCGCCCCCCCTCCGCCCTGAGCCGCCCCGCCCGCCGCCAGGGGGCGCCCGCGCGCCGCGCCCCCCCCCCCCAGCGGCGGCCATGGCGGCGCCGAGCGGCTCCGCGCTCCCCCCTCCCCGGCGGGACGGAGCCGGGGGGAAGGGGGCGGCGCGCGGGCTCCCGGCTCCCCGGGCTTGAAGGCGGAGCCCGCCGGCCGCGGGGCACGCCGGGAGGGGCGCGCGGTCCCCGCGCGGCGCCGGTGCCACGGTGGCGGGGCCCGGCGGGCGTGGGGGGGGGGGGGGGGGGGGGGGCTGTCCCTGGCCGCGTTGCCGATTCACCCTCCGGTTTCCGAGCAGCTCCGCGGCGGTTTTCCTTCCGGAGGCTGATCTCCCCCCCCGGGGCGGTTCAGCGCCGAGCCGAACACGGGCGTCACGGGATGACGGCGGAAGCGCGGGGGGGGGGGGGGCTGGTGGCGGCCGGCGAGGCAGCGGGGCCCTGCGCTGCGCCCGCGGCTGAGGCGGGAGGGAGGCCCGCCGGCGCCGGGATCCGGTGCCAAACGGGGTGTCAGCCCTTCCCCCCCCCCCGCCTTTCTCCCTTCATTTTCACACCCCCCCCCCCCCCCCCCCCCGGTTTGAAGGGACATTTTACGCCCGGGCCTCCGGACAACACCCGACGTAGCCGCTCCGCGCCCACCCCCGGTACCCGCCCGCCGCGTTTACGGGGCACCGCGCAGCTCCCTGTCCCGCCCTTGTTTTCCCCCCCATCGCGCACAAAAAGGTGTTTCTCACGCCGACACGTACAAGCAGATGAATAAGGATTTGGGCTCTTTCATTTTCACCTTTCCTTGCCCCAAAATCCTTGGGATCTTGCGTGAGGCATCGCTACGCCAGTAGAGTTAAATCCGAAACACTTAAAACCTAAAGTACAGAAACACCTGTGAGAGTTCCTGTTCGGTAACCAAAATAAGCTTCCTGATAGGCAATTAAACTAACAGAACTGCTGTGTCTTAATAGTAATGCCATTAGCATTTATGTCTGGCGATCCGCTGGAGGGGTATTGGCGGACCCTTGAGTCACAAATACAGAGTCAATTTTTTCACCTGAAAAATAAGAATAAAACTGATCCCAGTTGTGTACAAGAGTACACTTTAGAAATCTTTTTTAAGAAAAATTATTATCAAAAATTTCCACAAAGTCACAAACGTCAAAAAACTGGACTTCTATGAGCTCAGTGGGAGTGCAAGTTTGTGCAGTTCTTGCTTTTGACTTGAAGGCTGTTATTCAGGATTTCAGACTATAAATGTTTCCAGGGGGGCTATAAAGAGTTTAATAACATTACCTATATTGATGTAGGATTCTTTTTCAATGGATCATTACATATAGAAGGCAAAGCAGATTTAGGAATTGCTAAACAGATGAATATCTGTAAGAAAAAAAAAATCTATAAGAAAAGCTGTTACGCAAAATTACTTTCTTTTAGCAAGTATATTTATATTGTGAGCTGGTCCTGTTTTCAAAAGAGTAAATGAGGTTTTGTGATCCGCTGACATTTCAGAACATGTCATATGAAAAGCTGGAGGTCCCGGTGGTTAGTAAGACAAGGCATAGAGAGTTGACACTGATGCAGCTGTCTTTCCTGAAGCCTGATGCATTCAGGCATTAAAAACACTCTTCCTGAGTGTTTTATTCTTTTCTTGAAATGTTTCAGTCATTCTTCCACACAACTGGGATACTGCTTTCAAATAAGCGTTTCTCTATTACCAGGGGAAAACCACAATCTCCTCAAACAGGAAAGGATAATTAATGTATCTAAAGAGCATAAAACACAAATCAAAGTGTAACGTCACAAAACAGGGGCCACTAGCTGTTTCTGTGCTTAAGGTCCCATGTATCAGCTATTTCAGATTCTTACTGGTTTTGGATTTGAGGCTAGATTTACAAAGGAACTTGAGTGCTATTCATTAACCACTGCAGTGCCCAAACCTGCGGTCTCTGAAATTTCTGCCAAGGGTCACATATAGAAGAGTCATGCTGCTCAAAGATCCAGCAGCAATTTCATACCATTCCCTATACTGCTGGTGGAAGCATACCTACCACATCCTGTGGGTTTTGTGTAAGGCCTGAGACAAAGCAACTGGAGAACAGGCTGCCCATGCAAGTCAGTCCCATTTTAAACAAAAGCCTGCTGGTGGGAGCACTCATCTAAAAGAAAACCTGTTCTGGGATCGTCTGTCCTACCAGAAACACGGTCACTAACTACAGTTTCTCACAATCGAACGAGACTATCGTAACCATCAATCTGAAGTGGCTTAGTTCATAGGAACAACAAGAAAACATTAAAGTGAGCCACGGAGATTTGACACTACAGCCAGGTGATTACTGTCCAGAGGTGCAAGAGCCTGGGGATTA